CTGGTCTGTTAAAACTAGCATTTCGGTAATTAAACCAATTTTTTTTTTTTTTTTCTTTAATTTAATAAAAAAAATTTTTTGTCATCAAAAGCTTTAAAAGCTTTATTGTAAGAATTCAACCATTTATTATAACATTCATCTATATTTAAGTATAAGAAATCATTTATTTTAACATTCATCTGCTGAATACAGTAAAAGAAATCATTTATTGTAGCATTCATTATTCAAGTATATGAAGTTTTACCAGTTTATAAAATGAAGTTTATAAAATCATTTATTTTACTAGTTTTTTAAATTTATTAATTTTTTAAACTCATAATATTTTACATTTTGATATTTTGCATAGACCTTTATTTATGTCAACATCTTTGAATGTGCTTGCACGAGTGTTCAACTACTTGCGGGAGTGTTAAACCACTACTGAGTTCTAACATTTTTTTACCGCATGTTATTTGCTTTGTAATATAAATAGTTGAATGGAAGAATGTGATGGCCGTGTTCAATAATTTTGAGGGTGGTTGATGTGTTGATGAAAAAAATTTGATGAAGGGGATGTATTATTTAATCAAGCAGACCTTGTTTTCAATAAAAAATGCTTAATGCATTAGTCTAATGTGAATTTGATGTCATAAAATTCATCAAATTCATTTGAGTACCAGGTTGACATATTTTTGAAAAACTTTTTTTTCGAAAATATTAGGGACCCATTAAATATTCGAAAGTCTTGAGGGACCCCTTAAAATATTTTTTATTCAAAAAAAATTTAAACCTAATGTTTTTGTATTAGATACAACACATAAAGGGGGTGAGAGCAGATTATTTTCAAAAATGAAAATAATCTGCTCTCACCCGCTTTATAATCTGATATGTATGTATATATATATATATATATATATATATATATATATATATATATATATATATATACATATATATCAGGGGCTGCTATAGACCATTTTTGACAGCACCAATTATATTTGTGTGCTACCTAAATATAAAATTGAGGATGAAATTGAGGACATTTTTTTTTAAGGGCAAATGACAACAATATTAATGGTAATATCAAGAAACTAAGAAGAGCACTGGGAAACCAAAATTTTGTAAGAGGTCTGCTTTTTTGTAAAGGCTGCATTAGAGAAAGGTTTTTTGCAAGGGCTGCATTACAGAAAATAAAGAGCAACTAAATTTACCTAAGAAACCATCATATCCAGAATAACCTGTTCTGTTTGAGAAAGATTTTCATAAGCACTAAAATATTTTAATTCAGGTTAGCTTCCAGCTTTTACATTAAAATAAGTGAGAAAAAATAACTATTTTTGGGTTACACTAAATAAAATGTAAGCCATATATTTTTTTAACAACCAGCCTCTACCCCCCCCCCCCCCTCCATCACACCAAATGAGAGAAGGATGTATGAAAAATTTCTGTGTTATATACTATTTGATATTTGTTAGTTAGGAATAAAACAGGTATATTAATAAATTAAACAGTTTGATATAAAGATTGATATATGCACCAATAGTAACAGGGAAAAATAAAAAGATCTCTAGTATTCAATTGTTGATAAACTTATCATTATAACATATTTATCTAAAACTTGTCAAAATTTAATGAAAAACCTGAAACGGTAGAAGACCTTATATGTTCTTATATAAAAAAGACTAAAATAATTTATAAAAATTATAAAAAATATATAACATATAAAATTATAAATAAAAATCATATAGAAAAAAAAAATTTAATAAATATAAAATTTACTTAATACAGAAACCAGCATAATCATGACAAACTATAAACAAAGATATCATACAACAACCTTCTGATAAACATTTTATAGCCAACGTATACTTTTCAGCAGCTGAAACATAATTTCCCGCATAAAAAAGTTTATTTGCCTCATCTTTTGAAGTAATTACATATATTGGAATTTCTTTTTCGTGCTTAAGTTCTTGATTTGGTAATTCTATTTTGATTGGTTCATTAAGAACGAAAGATTTTTCAAAGGACTCTAGAATTTGAACAGAAGATATCTCTGAAGATTGTGAAGTCTTATCATGGGATTTAAATGAAGATGTTTCAGACGTTTTATCTAAACTGTTCTTTTCGTTCTCAATTAATAGAGCTTGAGCTTTTATATTAGTACAGTTTGTATTGTTTGAGTCTACAAAAGTTTCTATTAAAGTTTTTTCAGGTATTTTTTCATTCTTTAAAGTTAAATCTTTTAAATTATTTTGAACTTCTTTCAATTGCTGACATGTTTCTGCTTTCAAATTATTTAGATAATTTTCCTCCATAAAGTCTTCTGAAGTGTTTTTATTTTGTATAGATTTTATTTCTCTTTCTACAGCTTCATGATTATTACTTTGTTGTTCTGAATCTTTTAGGATTTGATTTTTTGGATCATTAGATATTTGGGATACAAAACTATCATTATTGAGATTACTATTATTACTAATTGGAGTGGTTACTTTTACTCCTCCAGAAAATTTCTGAATTTCAGAATTTAAATTATCAACATTTGTGTTTTTTTCATCATATTTAGAGTTTATTTTCTCTACTTTATCAATTAATTCTTCATCTTTGGAATTTGTCTCCGCAGCTTTGATGCTTACCTCTTCTGTTTCTGTGTTAATTTCTTCAACTTTAAGCCGTTTTCCTTTTCTTTCAACCTGATTTCTAAAAAAAAATTTGGACAATAACTTATAAACAAAAAAGCCTTATTTCATTCATATACAAAAAAAAAAAAAAAAAATTAATAAAAACATAACAAATAAACTTTAACAAATAGATTTAATAATACTTCTACGATTTGTTTACCTTTATAAAATTAAATAAATAAAAAGTATATAGAAATAGTATATAGAAATAGTATATATATATATATATATATATATATATATATATATATATATATATATATATATATATATATATATATATATATATATATATATATATATATATATATTATAAAGAAAAAAAAAATATTATAATATCATTACATTAAAAATCTGGGACAAAAAAATTTTTATTTTGACATTTAAGTTGTAAAACTCACAGAAAATTAAAAAAACTAAACAAATAAAAAAAATTGGGATAAATAAACTTAATAATGTATAATTATGTCAAAAATTTAAAATATATATATATACATACTTTGTGTATATATATATATATATATATATATATATATATATATATATATATATATATATATATATATATATAACTACATATTTTTTCACTACTATAAGTTTCATGCTAAATGCAATCATCAGGTGTTAAAAATGCCTATTATGCTTATATGAGAAACTATTAATTTTATTGTATAAAAATCCTAAATAATTATTAAACAAAAAAAAATGAACTAATATCTAAATATCGCCATGAGAACAAGTTTTTGCTGGACAACCACAAACCAAAAGATTAGATTTTTCTAACTCATTTTCTTTTGTACAGAATTAATATTTTTTTCACAAGAAAAAAAAACATATTTACACATGATGATTGCATTTAGCATGGAACTTATAGTAGTGAAAAATATGCAGTTTTATTTATAAGAAATATATATATATATATATATATATATATATATATATATATATATATATATATATATATATATATATATATATATATATATATATATATATATATATATATATATATATATATATATATATATATATATATATATATATATATATGTACTATATTGTGTTATATGCTTATTTATAACAAACTATAGTAGTTATATGTTTATAGCTATAGTAGATATTAATATTTACAGCATATAACTTTTTTAGAAAAAGAAAAAACAAAGTAAAATGAAAGAAAAGATTGCTGCCCAATTTCAAACCCTCAGTCAATGTAGCAGCTCACCTTTGCAATATATTAGATAGCAGAATATTAGATAGTCAATGTAAGTCTCTGAAACAGGCTGTTTCAGTGTGATATCACAGTGCTATCTAAACACACATTTATAGTAGAATTTTGTAAAAGACCTATACATGGCTTTTTGATAAGAAAATTTAAAATACAACTAGACTATCATGTGTTTTTTTTTCCTGTAGCAAATATGCCTTATTAAAAAGAAACAAAACTAAAAAATTTTTGTAGAAGACCCTTATATAACTTATTAGTACGAACACTTAAAAATGTAATTTGACTTGTTTTTTAGTTTTTTTCCATAGTAAACAATTTGCTGATTTATATATATATATATATATATATATATATATATATATATATATAAATAAACAATTTGCTGATTTATATATATATATATATATATATATATATATATATATATATATATATATATATATATATATATTTGTGTGTGTATGTATATATATATATGTATATATGCATGTGTGTGTGTGTTTGTATATATATGTTTACACTAATATTGAGGTGGTTATTAAAGACAAAAATGTTTTGAACAATTTAGGGAAGTTCAATATATTAAAATATCATGAATTGAGCCTAAACAACTTTTGACCAAGTTAACATCAATACTGAAACAATAATATTTTGAAATTAAATGAAACTTGCTATTTCTAAAAAGTGTAATAACGAATAACAAAAATTAGATCACACACAGCAATTGAAAATGGTTCACACACAACAATGAAAACATATACAACACTTAAAAACACATCGTAATGTCAACAATGGAAAACAAAAAATAAAAGCAAAAAAAATTCTGAGTAAGGGATGGTAAACCACCACAAGTGTTCGCAAAACAAAGATTGACACCAAATACTTTTCTGACGATGTTCTGTATACGATGAAATCTACTTTCACCAGGCCAGACAATTGATTCATCTCTGCTGTGTAATTAGAGAGATAACATCTGGCAATAATTAGAAAAACAACACTAATTGAATAATAGAAAATTTTACATTATGACAACACCACACACCTCTTTGATAACTTGTCAAAAGTTGGAAGAAATTAGACAAGAAATTGAGTTTCATCCACAGAATACTCCAAACAAAGCACCTCCTAACAATTACTTACATCAATCTTTTCAAAAATAAGCGTGTTAAAACAAATAATTTAGTAGTGCAAAAATAGTGCAATATAATAAAAGGATAGTTATATTTTAGTTATATACCTATTATGTAATATAATATGATTATATAATAATTATATATACATATTATAATAAATACAAGTAAATATTAATTGCTTTTAATTATAATTTGCTGGGAGTAGCAGTAGCATTTATAGGAGCAGTGCAAAAGCAATGAAACTTAAACAGGTGGTCTAAGGAAGGTGCTCATCTCGATGATTTTTTGAATAGGCTATTAGGATAATTAAGGATATATTAGCATAATTAGGGATATATCAGCATTTGCACTGATATTTTTTAAGATTTTAATAAAAGCTTTAATCTTAAATAAACATTGCTTTTAATAAATAATGGAGAAATTAAAATAATTTTGATAGTTGATTTGGGTATTAAACGCTGTGTAGTGTTTCTTTTTTCTTTCTCTCAGCTCATTGTGCTCAGTTCTATTCATTTTTAATTTGCTCTGCTTTGAACCCATTAAGTTTGTTTCAATTTGTTTCTTTAATCTTTAAATGTTTTCAGCTTTTGTTTTACTAAGACTACCTTTTATCTTGTTTCGTCATTCCAGGTCAAATCAACAAATTTGCAAACACTTTTTTTTTTGGCATTTTTCTAAACAAAAAACATTATTATATTTATGTTTTTTAAACAAAAAATTAAATTTGAGGATTATTTTGCCCATGTAAATTGCCTTTCACAATTTTGGAGGAAGCAAAAGATGCAAGGTGCAAGCAAAAGACGGCTACTTCCAGCAAAACTTATATACCACATACACACACACATATACAAACAATAGTTTTGCAAAAAAATACTTACTCAACTTTTTTGGTTATATTAGAAAGTAATTCCTGAAAAAAAAAAATGGAAATATTTCAAAATAAAAAAAAGGAGAAGCAAAATATAAAAAAGTAGTAGGGTAGAGCGGGGTATATAGGTACACTAAATACATTGGGGCACTTAAGCAACAAATGCTAGTTGCAGATAAACTCATAGTTAATAGTGTTTTTTAATATTTCTTAAAAATTCATTGATATAAGAAAATGAGAAAAATCTAAAAATAAGCAAAACTCAAAGTAACAAAACTTTAGACTAGTGAAATTTTTACATTTTGCAAGTGGGTGGGGCAAAACTTTAAAAATGATAAAAAATAAAGGCTATCTATTCAAACATGTTCAGACTTTAATCATATCCATATAAACTACATGCCCATACACCCATACATCACAAAAAAGAAATAACAGCTAAAATGAAAAAAACTTTTTGCGCTGTATGATAAAATACTCTTAAACAAACTTAAGAAATTGTTCTAAAAATTAGGTAGGGCAAAACTGGTATATGTTATTAAATTGGTAACTACTACTAAACTTAAAATTAAAAAAAATGCTATGGATCACATTAATCACACAAAAAATATCCTGAAACTATTTTGCAACATGTTTAATGAGTGGATTGTTAACAGTATGCCAATGTAGAGCAAATATAAATATGACATATGCATCAGCAACCTTTTTAATTCTAAGTTCCTTTTTACTCACAGCTAAAAACTGAATTCTATCCCATTTTAGACAATTGATCTTTCTTATATTATTGTGTACCATCATTATTTACATTAAACACTATTAATAATCAAAGTTAAGTTATAAAAATAAGAATTTCTTAGAAGTTATTACTAATATTGCTTTTCTAAATAAGAAAAATAATATTTTTGATTAAAAATAAAATCAAAAAATTGTAAACAGCATCACAAAATGATAGCAATATAGTCAATTATATAAATAACTTGTTTTCTCAATATGCCCCACAAAAGTCATTTTACTGAAATCAATAATATTTAAAAAGTTCAATTCCAGATATATATGCGGTAATGGTGTAGTGGTTTCTCCGTCAGCGGCCTTGTTCATCAAGGTTTGTGTTTCAGAGTTATAGAGTTGAGAGAGGCTTATTACCACAAATAAGTAGCCTCCTCGGCCTTGAGGAGGTGAATTAAAAAAAAAAAAAAGATATTTTTTAAAAACCAGATTCTAAAAGTGGATAAAAAATACTGTCTGAAAAATATAAACTTTTTACAAATAAAGCAAATTAGCAATAGTTAAAGATAAATATTTTGTCATTGTGTCGCATACGAAAATAAGCAAATTTTGTTTTTTGCGAACTGATGCATTTTGTTACTTTTAATGCATTTTGGTATTTCTAAAATTGAATTTTTTTTACAATAATGAACCACAATAATTTAAAATGTTTTATCAAAATAAGGCTTCAGGCATAACTGTCCTGTTATGCCCCACTGTCTCTAAATGTCCTGCTACAACCTACTTGAAACTTTTAATCACTATTTTTTTACTATTTTATTCTGATTTTTCTCACTAAATTGCGCCAGTCTACTCACTACATTCAAACTAAATTGCGCCAGTCTACTCACTACATTCAAACTAAATTGCGCCAGTCTACTCACTACATTCAAAGTGAAACTTAAAGTTTAAGTCACAAAAATGACTTTTTGTGGTTATTGATTTAGTTTTGAAATAACTTTTAGTGTTTTACATTTATCTTTACATTGAAATGTTTAAAAAAACTGTAAATACTATCAAAACTGATAAATAGGCCCACTAATATATTTATATCTGTAAAAACTAGTGTGAAAAGAGTAGGTTTATATCTATTGTCAAAAAGAAGATAGCAAAAAATTCATAAAAGCAAACTTAATTTCACTAGTAGATAGTAAGAAAACTATTAGAAACAATACTACATAAGGCTTTAAAGGAAGTAGGCTTTTCAGGAAACTATGGAGCAGGATTGTAAAACTCAAACTCTCTAACTTAAAAGAATAAAACATAAAAAAGTGAAAAAGATTTAAAAATGTGTTCATTAACAAAAAATAAAGAAAATCACAAAAAACTTAATATTAAAAAAAAAATTGTGCGTGAAATAACAAACACAAAAATTTACCAATGCCCTCTTATTTCTAGGTTCTCCATCTAAAACTCTTTGATAATCATCTCGAGCCTCATGAAAGCGATGCAAAGCTTCATTTGATATCCCTCTTCTTAAATATGCTAAAAAAAGAAAATGATTTTGATCAATGATTGACACCAATAAGAAAATATTTGAAAAGATCTTTTTAATTTATATCAATAAATTACAACAGAAAATAAATTTAAATTAAAATATTATTAAATATTTAAATTATTGTGTGAAACCTTTTAAATTTGTGGGTTCTTCTTTTAAAACAAGATTGCAATCGGCCAATGCATCTTGATATCTCTCTAGCTTTATATAAGTTATGGCTCGATTGTTATATACAGCTGTTTGATTCTGCATTTCTAAACTTCTATTATAGTATACCAATGCTTCTTTAAAATCTCCTGAGCGAAAAGCTTCATTGCCTTTAAGTTTTTCATTTTGCGCTGTTAGAATCTGAAGCTCCAAAGATTCTTAAAAAAAAAATTAACTTCTTTATTAAATAAACACAAAATCTAGTCTAAAATAAAAAAATGGTTTGGGTATAACAAATGTTATCCTTACTGTTTATTACTTTATTTATATTTATTAAGTACTTTATTAACCAGTAAAATAATAAGCTTGTGTTTGTAATTACATTGTAGAAAAAACATCATTATTTACTTTTACAAAATTAATCCTAAAAAAGCAGTTTAAGTTTTAATCTTAATAAAAGAGCAAGACAACAGTTGAAAAAAAAACTGTAAACTGAGTCAGGATAATAGATAATAATCAGCATGAGATAACCATTATGCTATAACAGAATCAGCAGTAAAATGAGAGGATCAAGAATTGATTGTCAGAGAGTTAAACTCAAGATAAGATATTAGAAGTTTTTAATTAAGAATCAAAGACTTTTAATAATAGAGAGAAAATAGTTAGAGGAGTCAAGTTATGTCTAGAGATTTTAAAAATTAGACAAAATGACATTTTCCAGCAGACAGAAGACATCAGATATTTTAAACCATTTAAAAAGTTTTTTAATAGTTTTGGAAATAGTGAAGATTTAGAATTTTTAGAATTAGAATTTAGAATTAGATATTTTATAATTTATATATAAATAAATAATTTAGAATTTAGAATTAGAAAAAAAAATGTTGTCTAGACAACAGTTAACAACTATGAAAAATGTTGTCTGGACAACAGTTGACTACTATGACAAAATGTTGTCAGGACACAAGCAGTAGAAAAGATTATATAAGGATTAACTTTAGCAACAGAAACATGATGATTTGGTTGTACAACAGTAGATTAACCTGTTTCTTTTGAATGGCAAGAGGAGTGTGATATTTTGGATTCAAGAGATGCATTAGAATTAAAGTTTTTTGTAAATAGATCTGCTTCATCTTTGGATTAGTTAACAAAGTTAAATCCATGTATGACAGACAAAATGTTAGATTTGTCACTATTAACAAAATGATTATAGATTTTACAAAATTTTTAGAATCTAATTTCTGAAAAAAAATATGAGATGTAGTAATCACTGACAATTGTGTCAGACAATTGTGTCAAGACACATTAACATACTGTTGACAAAAATTGCATTTTATGTTACTTTTTAATTGCTTAGAACAGCTGATCTTGAATGTGATTACTTTTCTGCAACAACATTTGCATCACAACAATTTTACATGAACTTTGTACAAAGTACAAAAACACTTTTTTGCACCAAATATAATTTTATATTTATACAATTATCAATTATAGTTATAACCACCTAATCACCAATTATAATTATAATTAAAATTAATTTCTAGCAATAATAAAAAGTTATTGTTATCCAATTGATATTGTGATGAAAAAATGATTAGGATCAGAAATAACCAGGACAAGAAAGAGAATACTAAGGACAAGAAAGAGAATACCATGGGTAGACTTGGGATAGCCATGGGTAGACTTGGGATAACCATGGGGCTTAACTTAGAGGAAATAAAAGTTTCTGCTGAAATTCAGAAGATTATAAAGGAGGTACAATTTTCAGCAGAAAAAAAAAAAAGAAAAAAAAAGTGATATCAATATACAATATCAAAAAAAAATTTGTAAACAACCAATCAATCGTCATCAATCAATCAGACTAATCTCTTTAATAGCTATAATATATATCATGGATCATATTTATATGATCATGTTTTAAAAATACATGATGACTCACCTGTTTACAGTTCAATTTTAAAGCATAAACATGGTTCCATCAGAAAAAAGCCATGTGTTACAAACTTACTAGACAATAGATATCAGTCTTAATGCAATCATAAAGTTTAGCTTCATTATCCTGTCATGAAGCACTAAATGTCAAATTAGAAACCTATGGTATTGAAAATAAATTATCAAGTTAGATTAAAACACTCTTTCTGGACAAAAAGAATGAGGTTGTTTACAAATAATCAGAGTAGTTGATAAATGTTTAGAGACCACAAGATTTTGCCTTTGTTCATAATTTATATTGATCATAAAAGACATGCAGTAAGTGACTGGGGTTGATATTTTACCGGGGTTGGGTTTGATAAAATATAACCAAGGCCGGGTTTATTGACTGGGGCTGCATAAACATTTATACATCCTAAAGTATATTTTTTTATTCAAAATTCATGCTATATTTTGTATATATATTCATATCTAAATATGATGTAATATGACATAAACATGACATATGATGATAATCATGATGATTATCATAATCATCATTATTATCATGATATGTCAAATATGATCATGATCATCATCATTATCATCATTGTCATCATCATTATCATCATGATTATGATTATCATTATCAGCAGCATAAAAGATGAAGGCTAAAGCCTGATAATGATGATCATCATCATAGACATGATCATGATCCTCAGCTATTAGCATTCATCTTTTATGCTGTTTCTCTAATATAAACAATCTATATATGTAACACACTCTTTAAATTTTCTTACTTCTACCACTACCATTTTTTACTGAAGCTGCTACCTCTCTACATGCTGATACCAAAATTACTTTAATCTTTTATTACAAACGTTGTTTGATGCAACGTTTTTTCTTATTTGTCTAAGATTATGCCTCCTTTTCTTGTCTTGCTAGTCACACCACACATCCATCTGATCATTTTCTTTTCAAAGAAAGGATATTGTATGCCAGCATCTAATTAAATAGCAAACATGTATGTTTATATCCATAATATGTATGCATAAGGTGCATCTTGGAGGCTTTTATTCTTCTTGTAATAAAAGTTTGGAAGCTTTTATTACTTCTCTTCAATTTCAAGTCAAGCCTCATTCTACTCCACATTTTTCACCATATTGAGCAATTGCTTTATTAAACATTAATCATTTTTTTCATTTTTTTATAAGAGCATCTATCTTAAGATCAAATGTCCTTTTATTATTGCAAGAAGCCAATGTAAAAAAGTCCTGTCTGTTGTTAAGCTCTGTTATTTTTAGTAATAAAGCAGAGTTAATTGCAACTAGTACATCTACTATAAGCAAATGAAAATACCATTTTAAATTTAGATAAGTATGTTAATAGTGACTTGAAGGATTTTCAAATCATAGTTATAGTTGAAATTTAAAAAATCAAATTTTTATTTAAGAAACTTTACTTTACATAGCATAAATTAGAAAACATGTTTTCAGCAGTATTTGATTTGAAGTGTGCTGACACAGTTTTTTGATTATAAAGTCAAGTAGGAAAAAAATATATAAGAATTTCAACAAATAGTGTTACATTTAATTTTTACAAGCATTTTAGTCATTCATTATAGTCATTCAGTACACAATGGACTTTTAATGTGAATTAGACAATCAACCAAAGTATCAATTTAAACGTAACTTTTAGTAAACCCTCCTGAATAATTACTAAATACTTAATAGGAATGTAATGTAAACAGATAAAACAACTTATGTTGGCAGTGTTTTAATGAATTAAAGAGAAATATGAAATGAACTACTTGTTCAAGTAGTTCAATCTATAAATGATTTCAAGGTATAAAGACTTTTTGATTTGGTCAAACTTGAAATATTTACGGTAAATTAGTCAAACATATACTGGTATTATTCTTAGTAAATTATTCTTTGCAAATTATAAATTTTTCAAATTATAACATCTTGGTTAATTATGCACATTATTTTGGGTAAAATAGGCAAATTATTTTTGATAAATTATACAAATTATTTTTGATGAATTCTTATTAGTTTTAGAAAAAATTAGTTTTACTATTTTTTAAACTTCTAATATCTTCGTTTTCAAGAATCTTGCTTGCATCCAAGTTATTCGAACAAATTTTAACTTTACTTGAAGATTTTTCATTACAAATATTATTCTGATTATCAATGTCCTTCTCGAGGCTTGCCCACTCATCATAACTACGTGGAGCAACTCGTTTTTTATACATGCTTTCAGCCTAAAAAAATTTTCTATTAAATGTCATACTATAAAAGATCATTCTAAAGGATAACTGAAGAACTAAAGTAATTATTTAAAAATAATTAACAATATTTATATAATTAATAATTAACACTTATAAACTGAAATAGTTATCTAAAAAAAATATTAATAACTTATAAACTTTTTAAATAAAACAAAAATTACCAGAGAACTTTGATTGTTACTTTTTCCATCAATTTTTTTATTGGATCTTATCGGAGGAAGATCATACTTTGTATCTTGAACTAAATCTGGATTTAGAATTTTGATTTCCTGAAATGAACAAAAAAAAAAGATTTTTATACCTTGCACAAAACAAAAGAAGAAAAGAATATCCTAAAGTGTTTTAGCAAATTTTATTTTTAAAAACATTTTTAGAAAATTTTGTTATAATATTTTTAACACATGTTGTTAAACCATTTTGAACCATTTTAGTTGGGACCATAAAATTTGATATAAAATATTTTTACCAGACTAAAGAAGCTTTCACGACTAACTTTTTTTAAAAATTAAATTGTTTAATTAATCAATTTAAAGTGTTTGAGCACAAGTATATTAGTATTTTGCATAACAGCTGTTACAACACTGGCTTAAAAACGAAGTAGATATTTGAAGTTGTATTATCATATTTTTTTCATAAGAAAAAAATGTACCATTTATGAGACATAGATGGTTTTTAACCATCTTAATAATGACTAAATAAATTCAAGAAAGTCTGCATATCTAATAATAATAATAATAATCGTATTAAGTCCTAATTTGTTTTAATAAAATGTTGGGCTTATAAATTTTGAATCAGGTTTTATTTAAACAAGTATCAAACTCATATTTTGTATTTTTGTTGTTTCAAAATTGATATAAACTTTTTTTGATTTTGATTTTTTTGATGAATTGATATAAAACAATTTTTGAGTCAGCATTTTTTATTTCAATAAAACTATAAATAAAACTAACATGTTATAAAAACTTTTTATTAAAGTATGTTAATAACAAGACCATTAAAAAGGCAGCATTTTTGTTGTTGTGTGTTTTCATTTTGCAAAAATGCTGAATCAAACAAAGAGTAAACTATAAAAAACAATTTCTGATTTTTCAAGATAAAAAAAAATTTTATATGTAATTTAAAATAATTTAAATTAAAATAAAAAAAGTATGAATATAACATTATATATTAAAACTAAAATTTCAAACTTGGATTTTTAATTTTATGTTGAAGGCTACGTTTTTAAACAATTAAATATTTTTTATTCGGAAACTGTTTATGCATTTCTGCCGAATTTTATTTAAAGTTTGAATTATTCGAATAAACACAACATAAACACTTAACTTCTATTACATCTGTTACATTTTTAAATTTTGGTTAAAACTTATGAATAATGGCGTATTTCAATGGTTTTTTTATGTAAGCAAACAAAATTCACATATGGTTTGTTTAATTTTATTACACATAAAGGTTGTTTTGCAATGCAATGATTTTTTATTCCTAAAAAAAACATGCTTCAAATACTGAATAAGGTTATACTAAATAAAATGCTTGTCTTAGCATGTATTTTAGTAAACTGTTAAATTAAAAATAACCGTTATTTAAAATAACAATAATATAAAATAATATTAAATTTTTATATATGAAAGTTTACAAATATATTATTATAAAACTAATAGAAGTATTTGTTACAAAAAATTATTGATTCTACAGCGATTCTAACTTTTGCATTTGTTTTAAAGAAAAAAAATTAACCACCATATTTGAAGTGATTTTTTTACTAGTCATGTTAACATTTATTTAAAAAAAATCTCTTATACATAAGAAAAAAAAAATTAATGAAAAACAATCTGGCAATAAAAAAAGTCAATAAAAAAGAAATAAGCAAAAGCATTAAAATTAACAGATGGAATTTGGTTAGTTACCAGTTCTCTTCCTACTACTTGAGATGTCTACCAATTTTTTAGGTTTATATATTTTTTTAATTATTTTAATTTAGTTTATTATACACTTTTTTTTTTTACTATCAAGATAATCTATGTTAATTAAAGTTCTGTTTTTATTTGTTAAGGTATCACTTAAAAACGACGAACAATTTATTTCATGTTTTTTTATTATAAAAAAGAATTCTTAAGCTTCGTGATCAATGGAGAAAATTTCAAAATCTAAAAGTAAAAAAAATTCAAAGAAAGATGTACTTGTTCAAGATTTCAAACTAATAATGGATGATATTTTTGATACCAGTTCTCCTAATTGGAAAGAATACATTAAAAAAACCAGACCATATAAAAATGCATAAAAAGATAATGCCTGGTTTGCAGCTCTCAAATGTGGAGTTAAAACTGGTGGAATAGGTGGGAAAGATAATTTATTAAAATTGAGTTCCAAAAGAATACAAGAAAAATTCAGAATAGATAAAGAAAGAGACAAAAATTCATTTATGAAACTGTATTTAACATTGATAATATTTTAAAATTTCTTATATTTACCAAAAATAAAAGCAATTTAATAACTAAAACAAAAATAAACCTAGAACCAGGATTGCGGAAATGTTTATCATCAGCTGTGCATTTGATAATTTAAAACTATCTAAGTTATTAAATGCTGTTATCATGAGATGAAAAATATGATTTCTTGGTAAATTAAATTTATATTATATAATGCAACATCTTCCTTGAATGTTATAGATGATTTTACGTTGTTTACATAATTAATTTTAGAAGAGCTCTGAGAATCAGAGTGTTCAGACTCTCTAGACCCAACAAAAAACGATTCTTTAGTTGAGTAGTGACAAAAAACGATTCTTTAGTTGAGTAGTGACTCAACTAAAGAATCGTTTTTTGTTGGGTCTAGAGAGTCTGAACACTCTGATTCTCAGAGCTCTTCTAAAATTAATTATGTAAACAAGGTAAAATCATCTATAACATTCAAGGAAGATGTTGCATTATATAATATAAATTTAATTTACCAAGAAATCATATTTTTCATCTCATGATAACAGCATTTAATAACTTAGATAGTTTTAAATTATCAAATGCACAGCTGATGATAAACATTTCCGCAATCCTGGTTCTAGGTTTATTTTTGTTTTAGTTATTAAATTGCTTTTATTTTTGGTAAATATAAGAAATTTTAAAATATGTTTTATAGGTGGTGTTAAAGCTAAAGACGTCAACATTTCAATAAATACAATTAGAAGAGCAATTAACCAAAATAAGCAAATTACAACAAGAAATATAATCTCAAAGTTTAAAACAAAAGTTGAATCAAATAATATAACTCTTCACTGGGATGGGAAACTCTTCAATCTTCAACTCTTCACTGGGATGGGAAACTCATGAAGCAAATATCTGGTAAAAAGTTTGACTATTTAGCTCTTTTAGTAAGTAGTTTTCCAAACTACCTGGAAAGTAAAACTTTATCTATTAAACCTATTCAGTCTGGTAGTGGAGTATCTATCGGTAGGGGAAGATTTAAATCAATACAAGCAAAACTTTTAAAGCAGATTGAAAATTTTTTTAATTTTTTAAGGATGAAATGGTATAAAATGAAATTTTTAATGTGGTCAAAAATCACAGAAAAAATTGTTGGTAATATAAATAAGGATTTATTATTCACTGATTTAGCGCAATACAAGTAATTGGTTTTAAACACTTTTTTCTTAGTTAAAGTATCCTAATCTTGTAAGAAACTTACAAAAATTGATATAAGTTGTAAGAAAAAGAAAAAGAAAAAAAAAAACAGAAAAAAAAAATTGTTTTTGTATAAAAGTAATTTATGTATCGATAGATAAAACTTTACAGAAAATTGTCTGTTGTTATAAGCATTACAAAAAGGCTGAGCACTAACAACTACCCAAACTTTTGAAGCACTAAATTTTTTGATGAAATGATACAATGATATAATGAAAAAGAGTTGTGAGTGTGATATATAACAAGTAAAAATAAAAAATAAAAAAAATCTATTTACTTTTATTAACATACATAGTTTATGGTTTGTATGAAATGTGATGAAGAATGAGAACACCCTTATAACATTGTGGGAAGTACAACATCTAAATTAACTTAACCCTTTTAACAACATTGCAGAATAATGGTGCAGTACAACCCATAAACTAACTAAATCCTTATAACAATGCAGTATAATGGAGCTGTACAACCCCTAAACTAATAGTGCAAGAAGTGACGTAGCTTGTTAAGCATTACATTTTTTTGAATTACAAAGCTGCAAGAGAAACATTCCCTTAAACACAATATTACAGATAACTTAAACTTTATTTTACTTTAACATTGCAGAAGTAGAATCTGCAGCTAGTAGAGAACTCCATTATCACAACCAAAATTTTATTAACCACTAAGTTGTTCCTTCAGTTTCCTCAATTGCTTAAATCGGAAGTAATTTAATGGTTGGATTTTATTCAGTTATTGTAGATTGTGAAGGTCAGAATTGAGTAATTTAATGATTGAATTTTATTTAGTTTTATTAGATTGTTAATATCGAAAGTGAATAATTTAATAATTGAATTTTATTCAGTAGATAAAAAAATTTTCCAAGTAGGATTTTGAAAAGGAAAGATTTCATTTCTTTGTATACTTTCTTTTGTTTTTTCATATACTTCAACTATATACTTCACAGTGTGTTTTAAGTGCAATTGAGAACTATAAATATTTAAAATTCTTTCAAATAATTTGCAAAAGTTTACTTAAAACTTATCTTATTTTTTTTTCTTTTATTATATATACCGTTATATTTTCTATTAGATACTATACTATATTGCATTTATTGTTTATTAGATATAAACTATATTGCATTTTTTAAATAGCAATATTAATTTAAAAAATGAATATAAGTTTCCTTTTTTTTATACTTAAAAAATACACACATTTATCTCTTTTAAGACATTCAATTTTTCTTCTTCTGACAACTCATTAAAATGCTTTTCAAGATTTATTGATTCAAACATTGAACTATAAAATAAAATAAACATATAAAAACTACTGTTATATAGAAAGATGAAGCATATATAAACAGAAATATCAAATAAAACAAAAAGTAAACGCATTAAACATCTAAAAACCTTTTTGGTTTTTGCTTTGCAAGTTTCTTTTCAGTAAATTCTTCTAATGCTGGGTAACTACCTTCTTCACCTGATCTAAAGCAAAAACCTAGTAAATTTTCTGTTTTTAATAATCAAACATGCATGCATACATACATACATACAGTATTGGACAAAACAAGTGCAAACAAATAATGCTAATTTAGTTTCTTTACATAAAAGTGCTGCATTTTTTCAATTTAGAAAAGTAACTATGTAATTGTTTAGAGACAACGTTCTTCAAGTTTTATTCATCACAAAGTTCTTTATTTGTACACAAAAATTAATAAATTAATCAAAAGTATTAAAAAAAGTTGATTTCCTTCTGGACAAAACACTTTGATAAAACTCACTTCAATAAACTGTCTTGATAATACTGACTGATTGACTTCCATATACTGACTGAATTACATGTTGGTTTACATGTCTCTTATATAATAAAATGAACCTGTGTGAACCTGTTCTGGAAGATTCTTCTTTTTGATGCTTCTGGATACTTCTGAATGCTTCTGGATGCTTCCAGATGCTTCTTCTGGAAACTTCTGGAAGCTTCTGCATGCTTCTGGAAACTTCTGGAAACTTCTGGATACTTCCTTTAATTATTAAAAAACTTCCGTGACGTTGACATGGACCAGACTTAAGAAAATGAAACAAACCAAAAAAGTTGCACTTGTTTTGCCCGCTGCAAAATGGCACTTGTCAACAAAATTCTGCCTGTGTGCTGTCACCTGTCAGCTGATTGTTCATGTCATGGCATGCTATGGGTCCAGACTCCCGAACTGTTTGCTGTGGTAGTATAGCTCTTTTTGTTTTAAAGACATGTAAAATTAGGAACACTTTTTAGCATTGTTTGATGTTGGTTGCAAATGTTTTGTCCAATACTGTACATACATACAAACATACATACATGCATACATATATACATATATACTAGGTATATGACAAAAAAACTTTTTTCAAAATTTTAATTTTCCTGATGTTGCATTTGATGAACTTTTACCAATAGATCACTGTTTTGAGGTTTATTTCATTGGATCACAAAAAAACTTCCCGCACCTAGCACCTCACCACTTTTAACTTTTTCGATTTTTCACTTGATTTATGCTTGAATATAACTACAAGTTGAAGAGCGTCAAACAGTTTAAAAAGTTAATTAACATAGAATGAAAAAGTTCGATAGTTTTAAATTGTTTTTATGTTATGTAACTCAATTTTGAATAACAAATTTTAACCACTGTTTTTCAAATTAATGCGCGTTTGTTGTTGTTTGTTGTTGATTTTTTTTTAATGTTCACGCAATTAAAATATTGAGTAGAAGTATTTTAAAAGTTTTTTCATTATTTGCAGTATTAATTTGCAAGATCTGCTGTTTTGTGCTTTTTTTTAAAAATATGTCCTTTAAAAGTAAAAAGTCAAAATCAGCAGTGGAAGCAGCTGGTGAAATATGGACACAAAATTTGAAATCAAGCACGAAGCGTCGTCCTAATATACCACAGGTAAAACAGGATATGAGCGACAAATTGTGTAAAATGCCTTCCAACAAAGATATCGTTGGAAGATTCTTGGGACTCTTTAATGAATTGAAAGGACGACATGATTGACTAACAAAAATATCCGAGGAATTGATGAATCTTTGGCAGAAGTTTAATTTTCCTGTTCTTTCCAAACAACAAGTGTCTGCTAATGTTTACAAACTTATCACATCATTTGAGAAACACAGAAAGCGACCAAATGCAGTATTTGAAGAAAATCTTGCTCATCTGTTCGTCAACTAAGTCTGCTGCCAAACTAGTGTCTAGTCACTCTTTGTCAACCAGAAAAATGTCACGGGTGCTTCAAAGTCTGGCTGAGGATGGAGTTTGTGTCCTAACACCATCACAGTCTGGAGTCTGGCATCAAACAATCAGAGATGCAGAACAAGTTAAGAACCGCCTCATGAAACTGATCTCTGAAGAGAAATTTTCTTTGCATTTTGATGGTAAGAAAATTGACAAGACTGAGTACCAAGTTGTGTGCTTGAAAAATGACAAAAGAACATTACAACTTGGCATTTTGGTTTGTGACAGTGGACCATCTGCAAGCATATATAAACCACTACATGAACTACTTGATGATTACAATGCATGGAACAGTATTCAGATGATCATCTCTGACACAACAGCTGTAAATACTGGTCGCAAGAATGGAGTTGTAGCCAAGCTTCAGAAAACATTTCGAGACAAGGGATTTAATGAACCTCAATACATCGGCTGCCAACACCACATTCTTGATCTTGTTCTACGACATGTGTTGGATTTCTTTTTTACTATACAGTCACAGTCGCCTAACATTAACTACAAATTTATTGATGAGATTATGGAGCATTACGATGATTTAAAAAATGCCTACAAGGGCACAACAGTGGTAGCAGAGTATGAGAACCTTGGCTGGAGAGATGACTTTAAATTTCTTTTTCAGCTTTGTGAAGCATAAAAGTTTTACAAAAATGAGGAAAAATGGCCTCGTATCAAATGGCACAAGCTGCCATCACTGCACAGTGCCAGGTGAAACTCAAGAGGCATTTTTGCGCTTATTGCATTTTTCATTCTTCCAAACTGGCGAGAACAGCTGAGGATAACTTGCGATTTCGATGCAACTACATGGTCGCAGGCCTGGTTTTCAAACCAGCACTATGCAGAGGCGGCTTATGAAGACCTGCTGTCAGCAATATCCCAACTTAAGTGTTCCAAAGCTGTGAAATGCTTCTCTACCCACTGGAAGAAGGAACCATCAGTGCTTGATGTGCCTCGAACCAACATAGTAGCCAAGAGAGCTGTAAAGTTGATGGGGGACATTCGTTCTTCTTGCAGAACAAACAAATATCTTAACTGTAAATTTATTAATACTAATACACAAATCTGAAAGATTATTAACATCACTACAAATGCTGTAGGACAGTGTATTTCTCATGTATTTCTCATGTGTATTGTATATAAAGTTGACATCTTATAATTAATAGCCTTTGGGCTGCTATGTGTTGTATGGTTAAATATGAAACTGTCTTAGGTGCGGGAAGTTTTTTCAAGGTTTGGTGAAATCAATGTCATTTCTGTGATTTATAGGCAAAAGTTCATCATTTAGAACCCCAGGCTAATTGATTTAAAACTTATCATATACCTAATATATACATACATACATACATACATACATACATACATACATACATACATACATAAAATGCATATACGTATTATGTATGTACCACAGAGTAAACTAGCCCTGTAGGGCCCCATTAAATGCGGTATTCTCAAATGCTCAAAAAATTTAAATTCTTAAATTAAAGTTGAAAAATCTCATTTTTCAAATAAAATTTACCAAATCAAAGTTTAAATAATTAAAAAAAAATAATAATAATTCTAAAAAATTATTGAAAACTAGTTATTTTAAAAAACTAATAGAAAAATAACATAAAAAACTATAATTTATTTAATTGCGTAAAACTTGAAATAAAATCGCCGTTATTGGTATAACTATGCAATTGCATAACTGCGAAAATGTCTCTTAAAAAAAACTTCTTGGCAATTGGGATTTTCTCAGCAATTTTAGGGATTTTCTCTGCAACTTGCTTGTAAAATTCCTTTTTAAAAATTTCCAAATAAATTTTTGCAATGCATTCCAACAACAGAAAATATTATATAAAAAAGTTAAATACCAATATTAAAACGTAATTTAAATACATTTAAAAACAAGAATGTTTATTTTTATTACAACAAACAATATTAGAAATTTAAAAATTAAGAAAACTGGATTCACTGCTTGCTCAAATTTAAAAACGTAAAAGCAAATTTAAATACCATAGTCAAAACATTTTATGACCATAAATGAAAAAATAATTATTGGTAATTTTCGTTGCCACAATAGTGTGCATGCGCTTGTGACCAACATTGTTGTTTTCGCTGAGAACTTTTAATTGTAACTTGATTTCACTATGCGATTTATGTATAAAGAAAACTTATATTAATTATGAAAATGAACTCTATAAATGAACTCAACTCTATAAATGAACTCTAAAAATGAACTCAATAAAAATAAAATCTGAAATTTATGAGCTCATGTTTACTATTTTTAAACCTTTTCTATGTTTCAATTTTTAAAACATTTCTTTTGAGGACACAATCTATAAAATGATGGTGTAAGGGTTTGTCCATAAAGGACATAAAGCAGAATTTAAATAATAATTAGAAGTAGAAGATCATTAGCTTTCTTCCGCAGAAATTTTCATTAAACATAAATCACTATACTACTTTAAAAATCGCTATTTAATGCCCACCATTAAAAAGAAAAATATATTCAAAAGAATACTCTTAAAATGAAAGCTGCAATAGTATATTAAGATTAAAAATAAATCAAATATATTATTCTTAATAATAATTAATATACGCTGATTATTTTATAATATAAAAAAAATATATAATTCCTTATATATCTTTGGAAATCGGAGCTTAATTTGCCGTGTCATCGTGTAACTACGGCAAATTTTTTGTTGATTTCATATTTATACTCAATATATGTTACAGACGGTATTTTATTCTATTTTTGGCGCTGTTCAATTAATGTATGCAGCGCTACAGTGGAGTAGAAAAAGAAAGAATGTAAGAGAAGGATCCCACACATTCCCTGAATACATTTTAATCTCAGGAAGGGGGATTGGGAAATATTTTGACAATTCCCAATTTTCGTCAAAACGCTGTATCAAATTTATTCCTGGTTAACACCCTGTGTACCCATATAGTATGTACCTATATAACAACTCTCTGCTCAATAATTTGAGCCACCAAACAATATAACCATTTTTTTAAGAGTTTAAAAACAAAAACTTAAGTGAAACAGAAACTCAAGTGACATACAAAAACTCAAATGGCATGAAAACTCAAGTGACACACAAAAACTAACCTTAGAATTTCCAATATTCTTCGTAATTTGTTGCTGTCCTGACATGTTTCAATATATTTATAATCAAGATGCTCTATTGGTATACTTGGATCGCTCTTACAAAACCCAAACATAGAAGTCATTACTTTTTTTTTAACACTAAAAAAATTTCTTATAAAAGTACTATTATAGATTTAATTTTTGCCACCTTATCACTGTTACCTATTACTATTATTAATATTATTATTATTAGTATTATTATTATTTTTTATTACCTATTATAACTATTACATCAGTAAAAAATGAAAATAAACAAAACAGTTGAGGCTATTACTGTATTGAAATGAGTAAACGACTTAAATAAATATTTCACTTTTTTCTTTATTAGTTATTAACGTGCTCCAAGAAGACCTATCAGTCTTATCACAGAGCACCACAGAAGAGCACTTAACAAGGAAGTTCACGCCTCCTTCATTACCAATGTCGCTTCTGACCAGAGCTGGCATCGAACCTTGAACCTCTTAGTTCTAAGCCAGAACTCTAACCATTGCGCCATGGCTGCTCTATCATTCTTAGACACTGCTACTAAAGTTAAAACATCTATTCACCAACAATACCTATGATGAAATTTAAATGTGAAAAACGTTATTATGAAATTTAAGTGCAAAAAACGTTATTACCATTATATACTAAATGCTTATTAAGAATTAGAAACTCAAATTTTATAATTGCTTAATTAAGTAATATCTATTCTACTTCTAAATTCGTAAAAAAATCAAGTGCCAGAAATAAGTTGGTTTATAATTGATGATATATCTTGCATTTGGTGAATCATTTCTTCTAGCTTTTTATTCTTTTCTTGAAGATCCTAAAATAAAATTAATACAAATATATTAAATACAACAAATATATAAAACAATTTATCAAACAAATAATTTAATTATTTTTGAACTTACCTGAAGCAAGTTTTCATATTCAACAGATTTCGACTTTTCAAGTGATGTATTTTTAGGAACTTTGGCATCCATTTTGAATTTATTGATGTTTAGCTAAAACAATAGAGATAAGAAAAACGATAACAAAAAAAAAAATTCTTAGCTGCAACAACAAAACTTTAAAGAGTTTCTAACAAAGATTTGAATTTAACATAGCAAAATCTATTCTTTGTTATGGGATTATTATAATTTAACAGTCCCCAGTGCAAATAATAACTAAACAAATGTTTTTTGTTAACAACATTTGTTTCATTTTCACAGGATCCAGAGAGAAGGTAGACACAATTAAACACATTAATAATTACATCAAATGCTGAATATGGATAAAGCATAAGAATATGTATTTTAATTGATGAATTTTGGTTAGTGCATGTAAATGAATTTCATAAACACAAATGTATAGTATATGTAAAGTATAGAGTGTATGGCCATTCTAATTACACTTTCCATTCTAATTACACAGGTTAACCAATTGTTAGACATCAAAATTACTTCAGTTTGAAGAAGTTTCAAAAAGTTCTCCTGTAGAAGAGTTTAATGGAGATATGACTTTAGCAACTTTTTTTTTTTTTTTTTTTTTTTTTTTTTTTTTATTTAGCCTATTATTATTATTAAGCAAAAAAATACAATCTAAAATTAAAAAAAAAATACAAAATCTTTTCTGAAATTAAATCAAGTAATCAAAAAATTACTGAGAAAAAAAAAAGCAATAAAAATTAAATGCACCTACAATTTTTTTAATGGAAATATATTAATACGGGATATGACCTCCATTGTTTTTAATACATTGTTTTTAATACTTGTATTCGCCTTGCAATTGATTCAATTGAGTTTTAAATCATCTTGATTGGTATTTCAAGCCACAGTGTGGTTCTTGTTTGAACATTTCGTGACTAGTTATTTGCTTTTTTGTTAGTTGATAATCCAGCTCCATAAATTTCGATCCAACTCGTCGTTGTTGGTGACTTTAATGCCCATCACACCGATTGGCTTGGCTCTAGTGTCAGTGACTCTGCTGGCGTTAAGGCCCTCAACTTTTGCCTTTCTCAATCTCTAACTCAAATAGTCAACTTTCCAACTCGTTTTCCAGACAACCCTAATCATTTACCTTCTCTACTCGACTTATGTCTTGTTTTGGATCCTAGTCAGTGCTCAATTTCTCCACATTCACCCTTAGGTACTTCTGATCACGGTTTGATCTCTCTAAAACTATTATCAAATTCTTCTACTTCATCAGAATCCCCCTATCATCGTACCACATACAACTACCTTAAAGCTGACTGGGACTCTTTCCGTGATTTTCTTCGTGATGGCCCTTGGGTAAAAATCTTTCGTCTTCCTGCTGACAAATGTGCTTCTTACATAACTTCGTGGATTCAGGCTGGCATGGAATCTTTTATTCCCTCTCGACGATTCCAGGTCAAGCCTCACTCTTCTCCTTGGTTTTCCTCACATTGCGCTGCAGCAATTTCTAATCGAAACCGTTACTTCCATATCTATCAGCAAAACAATTCTCCAGAAAACAGACATCTGTTCACTATCGCCAGAAACCATTGTAAAAAGGTTTTGTCTGACGCCAAAGCTCGCTATTCCCAGGTCATTAAATCTCGTATCTCATCACAAAAATTAGGCTCTCGAGACTTCTGGAGAATCTTTAACAGTATCAATAATAAGGGCAAATCTGTTATTCCTTCTCTCTTGTATGGTTCAGACTTTGTCACCTCACCTAAAGACAAAGCTGAATTGTTTGCAAAGAACTTTTCATCAATATCATCTCTTGATTCCACTAGTTGCGTTTTACCTGACATAGCCGTCAAACAGGTTGATCCCTTGCTTGACATTCGCATCACTTCAGCTTCTGTATCTAAAGTAATTTCCTGCTTAGACTCTTCAACAGCTTGTGGTCCTGACAACATTCCTGTTGTAGTCTTGCAGAGGTGTTCTCCGGAGCTTTCATCCATACTTTCTAAACTATTTAACAAGTGCTTATCAGAGTCTTGTTTTCCATCATGCTGGAAAGCAGCATCTGTTATCCCTATTTTCAAAAATTCCGGAGAGCGATCTGATTCATCTAACTACCGTCCCATTAGTCTTCTTCCTGTCATAAGCAAGGTTTTTGAATCTTTAATCAACAAACACTTAATCTCTCATCTTGAATCAAATAACTTACTTTCTGATCATCAATATGGATTTCGGTTTTCTCGTTCTACAGCTGATGTGCTAACAGTAATAACCGAAAGGTTTTACCGTGCATTAGATAGAGGTGGAGAGGTTAAGGCTATCGCACTTGACATTTCTAAAGCTTTTGATAAAGTTTGGCATGCTGGTCTTCTCCATAAGCTTTCTTCTTATGGTGTAGCTGGTAACGTCTTTAAGATTATTGAGTCCTTTCTTTCCAATCGTAGTATAAAAGTTGTCCTCGATGGACAACACCCTTCTTCACATCCTGTAACTTCAGGGGTTCCTCAAGGTTCAATCCTTGGCCCTATACTCTTTTTAATTTACATTAACGATCTTCCAGATATTCTCACATCTAAGGTGGCATTATTCGCTGACGACACTACCATTTACTCTTGTCATGATAAGAAGCCTACACTTTCTGATTGCTTGGAGGGGGTATCTGAGCTTGAAAAGGATCTCACTTCTGCTACAGCATGGGGCTCACAGTGGCTGGTGAACTTTAATTCAGATAAAACTCAATTTTATTCGGCCAATCGTTATCGTAATAATTTAGATCTTCCTATATTTATGAATGGTAATGTACTAGATGAGTCATCTACCATTCATCTTCTAGGATTAACTCTTACTTCTGATCTTTCTTTTAAACCGTATATCAAATCCATTGCAAAATTAGCATCTGCTAAGGTTGCATCTCTTTATCGAGCTCGACACTTTCTTACTCCAGATTCTATTCTCTATCTCTATAAATCTCAAATCCGTCCCTGTATGGAATACTGTTGCCACATCTGGGGCGGATCTTCTAATGATGCTCTTTCTCTTTTAGACAAGGTGCAAAAACGAATTGTAAACATAGTTGGACCTGCTCTGGCAGCCAATCTCCAACCTTTGTCACATCGTCGTAATGTTGCTTCTCTTTCTCTTTTCTACAAATACTATAATGGGCACTGCTCTAAAGAGCTAGCGTCCCTTGTGCCATCTACTAAAATTCATTCTCGTGTTACCCGCCATTCAATTAAGTCTCATCCTTTTTCTGTGACTGTTCCTAAGTGCTTCAAAAACTCTTATTCTTCTAGTTTTTTTCCTCGAACATCAGTTCTTTGGAATTCGCTTCCTTCATCTTGCTTTCCTGATTCATATAATTTGCAATCTTTTAAGTCATCAGTCAATCGTTATCTTGCTCTACAGATTTAGTCTTTTCTCTTCCAGTAACTTCCAACTCTTATAGTGGTTGCTTGCAGCCTTGTTGGAAGTGAAGATGTTAAAAAAAAAAAAAAAAAAAAAAAAAAAAAACTCAATAAATTTTTGATAGGGTTCAAGTCAGGTGATTGTGCTGGCCAAGCAATGAGTCGAATATTACTTTCAAGGAAATAATCAGTGATTGTGCTGTATAACATGGAGCATTGCCTTGCTTAAATAACCAGTTTTGATCAGCCTGGAACAAATCGTGACTAGGAATAAGTGCATTTTCCAAAATGTCACGATGCTCGTACTGGTTTAGTCTTCCTTCGTATATTTTATGACAGCCAACGTCTGAGCCTGATATACACTCCCATAGGCCAACAGAACCACCACTTTTTTGAATACAGCTTTGTAGATGTTGTTTCAAATATTTCTGTTAATAATTTCAAAATTCAACTCATTGTTAAAGATAATCATATTCCATTGCTCCATTGAATAATTTAACCACTCTTTGCACCATTTTATTCATCTTTGGCAATCAACTAATGCCAACAAAGGCTTTCTTACACCATGAAGCAAATTTAGTCTATAAACAATTTTGAAGCTCCTGGTCACCAAAATACTAGAAATAAACAGTAATTTTGTGATTTTAAATCCAGGGGGTAACAAATTGACAAACATGCAAACGTTTGTTAAAAAAAAAAGACTTCAAAAAGAGAAAAAACGAACATCACATTTCTTTATGATCACTTAAAAATTTTTAATTCGATTGCATTACACAAAATGAGAAAAATGTGACATCTGTGGTTTTACCCGTGTGGTCTACATATACTCTTAGTGTGGCGTATAGATTAGAACTTTCTGTGTCAGACTCAATAAAGTATTTATTTAAAGAAGTTTGATGACAACAAAAATTGTTTGTTTCGTTTTTACTATCATTTAATGCAGTGAAGAAAGAAATAATAAGAAATTCTTTTTTAGATGTAGAGTTTAAACAGCTTGGGAGATTAGCTAGCCGGGAAGGGGTTAAGAAAGTTAAGATTGCCTGAAACTGACTATAAAAATATAATTTATGATTTAGAAAGCAAAGCAAATGAGAAAGACAAAACTGCACAGAAAGCTAAAGGATTTTTGTGTTTCATGAAAGACCCACAATTTTTCTTTTATTTACATTTTTTATATATCGCTAACAACATCATTGGAGCTTCAAAAAGAAAAAATTTTATTTTTGTTAGATTTTGCATTAAGTTGATACAAAAATTGCTGTACTAAACGCGTTATCAGTAGATTCAACCTCAAATATTGGACATTTTCTAGATAATTTAGAAGTAAAAAAAATTCAGTTAATCTAAAAAGGTATTTAATGGCATGAAAAAAGCTTTAAAGAGAACTGATGATATTAAAATTGTTAAACAACAACTAAATGATTATTTTGATTAATTTAACAAAAAATAATTTATTAAAATTATTGACAGAGTAAAACAGAATATATAAACAAACAATTACGCCTCAATTTCAATCAAAAGCCATTAAAATCCTTGACTACTTAGAAGTTATTATATAAATATTAATGAGATGTCATTTTGCAATTTATATTTCTTTAGTTTTATTTCACTATACATTTTTTCTATTAGTAAATAAACTTAACGAACTAAACTGACAAAACCTCACTGTTTTGTATCAATTTACGATTTTTCAAATTAATAACCATTAACTTGCATGCACTTTGCAAATGTATGAAAAATTATTTTGAAAATATAAGAATTAATTCAATTCAATAAGCGTTTTTGATATATCTAACAATTTATTAACTAGAATAAAAATTATTTGAAAATAAAACTCCTTTATTTGACATGTTTCTCTTAAATTAGACGTTCAGCAATAAATAAAGATACAAACACCAACATTCATTAACAAAAAACTATTCGTCGCACCCTGAAATCCAGAGATTTTTTTTACTTGACATCTTTGCTAACAATGAACAAAAAAAAAATTAAATAAATTTGAACTTACTAAATGACCATGATTCAGCATTTCTTGACGACAAGTATTGTAGCAGGTTCTAATTTCTCTTAAATGGTCCTTCATAGACATTAAAAGTTCTGAAACAATTTGATTTGTTTTTTCATATTTTTCTGGAATGCAATTTTGATCTTCTGCTTCAACTTTGCTTAACAATCTCTCAAACCCTTTAATAAATTTAAAAAGAATAACTGAAAATTTTTTTAAATATTTTTATGCATTTGCACTAAGTAAACAAAAAAATGTTTTTACCCTAAAACTCTAGTCATTGCGAGTGTGCTATACTAAAAGTGTGTATATGAAAAACTAAAAGTGTGTATATGAAAAACTAAAAGTGTGTATATGAAAAACTAAAAGTGTGTATATGAAAAACTAAAAATGTGTATATGAAAAGTATAAGTGAGAATATAAAAAATAAAAGTGTGTATATGAAAAAATAAGTGTGTATATGAAAAAATAAGTGTGTATATGAAAAAATAAAAATGTATATATGAAAAATAAAAGTGTGTATATGAAAAAATAAAAGTGTATATGAAAAAATAAAAGTTTAATTAATAATATTTTTTTTCTTTTTGTTTAAAAATTTTTTTATTAAAAATGAAATGATGATTAAAAAAATAATTTCAAAACACTAAATTTTGCATGAAATTAAAATATCAACAATTATTAACAATTGATTTAATTAATTCCTCTTAAGTTCATTTTCAGATATTCATAATGATGATGATGATGATGATGATGATGATGATGATGATGATGATGATGATGATGATGATGATGATGATGATGATGATGATGATGATGAATGATGATGATAATGATGATGATGATGATGATGATGATGATGATGATGATGATGATGATGATGATGATGATGATGATGATGATGATGATGATGATGATGATGATGATGATGATGATGATGATGATGATGATGACAATGATAATGATAAAACTTTTTGAGTTAGCATAAAACATATGCTTAAACTTAAAACATCAGATATAGAGATGTAATAGTTAACTTTTACAAACCAAGTGATTGAAGAAGAACTTGAAAGTTTTCATACAACTTTTCAGTAGATTCCAAACCCTTTTGAGCTGCACAACTATCCATAGTATCAAAGTTACATTACTAAATTCACAAACTAAAGATAATTTTCAATTTTAAAATGACTCACTGATTCAAATACTTTTAGACTTCATTCAACAATAATATAATAAAAAGAAATGCTATAAATACAATTTATTAATAAATACTATAAATATTGTGTATATTAAGTATATATAGAGAGCAACAACAATAGTAAAAATGATTTAACAATGATCAACATGATTTCATATGCAATTCTTCATATGAGATTGAGTTACACAATCTCATCCAAAAAAAAAAACTAAAAAGAAATTCACAAATTTAAAAGTATATACACTAAAATTGTGGTAACTTAAACCTCCAAGGGACTGAGGAAAACCCTTTCACTAATGCTCAAATAAGCAAAGTAAAATAATTGTTCTTGCTTGCAATCGACTGTATAAATCTTAATATGTTTAATTACTGAGTTGGAAACTAAAGCATAACAACTTAACAAATGATGCTTTGAACTTAATAATCAACTATTTTAACAGTATTCACAAAAAAATTTTAAATATTCACAAAATTTGATGATACATCAGAGAAAATATAACATTCAAAATCAGCTGCCTGCTCAAAGCAATAAAAAAAAGTAATGAGATTTTATCAAGATATACTAGTCATTACCAAAAAATTCCATATTAAGGTAAAATCATAAATGTCAGGAAGATCATTAATGTTAATTAATGTAAAAAAAATATGGGACCAAGTATGAAATCTTGTATTACCTCAGTATCTACTGGAAAAGTTATTTCTATTTAGAATAACTTTAATACAACAGCTAGAGTGGACTTTGCAATATTGAAAACTTTCTCAAAGATATAGTTAGTATAGATAACATAATTATATATTAATACTAACATCATTTTAAAATACTAACTTTATTAATTTCTTAAATGTTCAAAAAATTGGCTAACTTGTTGATCAAACACTGTTTTTATCTTTTTAATCAAAAAAATAAAATCAAAAAAGATCATCAAAAAACCTACAATGTTAACTGAATTATTTTATATCCTTGAAACAAATTTGCCTTTAAAATTTAATCAACTTGAACTTTTTTTATGTAAACAGTAGCTTCAAGGTGAACCAAAAGCTTCTAGTCATTTTATAATAATTATTGAGGGAGTCATTAAAACTACAACTTTTGAAATATTAAAATAATAAATTTAGATTTTAATAAACAATAGTATTTATAAATAACAAAAAGAAATTTTGTTACATAAACATTGTTAAACCAATTTTAAAATAAAAACATTGCTCTATCTGGCACTGACTATTATCAGAAGACAAAACTGCAAAAAAATTTCTTTTAATGTTTTAAAAAAATTTTACTTGAATTTTTAATACATAAACAACTATAAATGTATGTTTAGATATGCCGGGGTCATCAGTACATATATCTATTTATATCTTCAGTACATATATACAGCAGCACTTCTTTGCTGTTACAAAGAAGTGCCGCTACATATATGTACTGCTACATCAACTGTGTTTGCTACAGTAAATGCACTGCTACATCAACTGTGGGTTTGGAATGGAGCAGCTATCTACTGCACCTATTGCATTGGGGAGTTAACACAATTCACAATACATTTGTTCATCTTTGGGGTGGATGGAATTCACTCAAATTATTAAATTTGAAAAGATATATATTGGTGAATCAAACCAATAAGAAAGACCAAAACTTCTAACATTTGACGAAAACAGTTTTTAAAGATCTATGTCTGTTGTAAACTTGACTGTTGCAAACAACATTGACCTACTTTGTTTTTATCTTCATACAGATGGTATTTTGAAGCCGTTGTATGAAGGTATTTTAAAGTTAGTCAGTGCATCTTTCAAGAATTGTTTGAAACACTTTTATATTATAATACAAGTAAAAATGGAAATCATAACACAAGGTATGATCAATGACATGATCAATTAAGCAACTTTGAATCTTAAAGGAACAGTTTTCTCATAATTAAAAAAATTCTTTTTTTCTAAAGATGTGTCATTTTTACTTCGCTGTACGCTAAACTTGACATTGACAAAATCAACTAAAATATGGAACTTGACGTTTAATTTAATTTAATGATCCATCCGAATTAAGTCATAACCCATGAAATGGTTAGTGACTTTACATAGATTTCAAGTCAATTTACAAATTTGCGATCTAAGCTCAAAGATCATTAGGAGAGGGTATGTAATAAACATTTTTAGCAGTCAGAAGCTTATTACGTCCTACTTTATTTTCCGAATTATGTGCTGTGTAATGATTACATAGTGTTTCGTTAGGTTTGGAAAAACAAACAGTTAATAAACAAACAAAACACTTCTCCACTTTCCAAAACACATATTTCCTGTTGTACTTTATTTTAAATAAGAAATAATTATGCAAATCAAAACTAAGTTTTTTATATTCGTTTTTTTTTTTTTGGATTGGTGATTTTTTAGATTTTGCAAGTCTGTTCCCAAAAATATTGTGCCGTTATCAGAACGGTAAGCAGATTTTGAAATCATATAAACGCTCAGAATAGGCCAATGATGTAAATAAATAACTAGATATATAACTTCGCCGTTTTTAGTGAAGCCAATTTAATGGGTTGGAAGCCATTATTATATCAGGCAAAAAGCTTTTAGCGATCACATTCTTATAAAAAGATATTGGCAATTTTAACGTCCTTATTCTTGGAATTAAAGATGATTAGAATCACAAACGATCAATTTAGTGAGCATACAGTCAATACATACATATTTGTTAGTCAAAGATTGGACATGCTAACGTTAGCATGTTAAGTTTGTTATAACAAACTAAAACAAACGGCTATTTTTATAGCCACAAAAATATATATTTAAAAACATATTTGCATTTAGAACATCAAACTAAAACATCGTATAACATATTTTATTATTTTAATTAAAGTTTTATACAATAAAATGAAATATTCATAAACCCTTGAACAATATTAATTTATTTGTTTGTTGTCTTAAACCAATTGACGACTTACTTAGAACTTTAGTGGTATAGTCCTGGGCATATCTGAACATTCGAATTCTAAAGTAATATTCACATATCTTTCTAACAAGCTGGCTGGAACGCAAATCTTCATTTTCAGTCCACAATTCTATGTTGTGACTATCAAGTCCTTTAAAGACTTTTTTTTTAATAATTAATTTGTTAACACAATGGAGCATCTTATGCTTTATATTTTTATCTGAGGTTATTTTTGGATTTTTAAAATCTTTACCACTAATAAAGAAGTTAAATACTTTCTCACACATCTCTACAACAAAAACAACATCCCTTGATGGCAAAAACAAACCACCACGATTTTTCACATTATTTAACGAAGAATGAGATTTCGCATAGGAATGTTCCTATGATAAAATATCAGTTAATGATTGAGCACAAACATTACATGAAATAGTATTTATCAAGTTTCTGACTATAAAACCAGAAATATATCCCAATATTGCTTCTTTGTAGCTAGACATTTGAAGTTCATCGCAGTACAAAAGCACTTCTTCAAAGTCAATATCCTCTTGGTCAAAATTATCAACAGAACACAATCTTTTTTTCCAACTAAGAGAAAAAATAGAGCCATTAGAATATGGCTCAAACATTAGGCAGTTAGCACGACTCGATCCAACAATGGAGTTTCGCAGAAGAATCCGTTTTAACGATGATTTTAACTGCACTACATCAGGATTGTTGTTGTAATCATTTTTTCCACGAATGCAAGCAAATAGTAGTTCAAGATGATCTTGGGAATATTTGTAAGTTAGAACATACTTAAATGTCTTCTCATGAAGTGTTAACAGATCGAAGGATAATTTTAGAGTGCTTTTAGCATCTACAATTAAACCTAAAACAAATGTCTTTCTTCGATGTAAAAGCAATGGAATGCCATTAATATCAGTCAACTTGCTCAGATAAGTAATCGTAGTGTTTAAAAAATCTTTCCAATAAAGCTGATTATTTAGATATAGAGGTTTCTTAAAGTGTTTACCATTTGGATTTCTGGAATTGAGCATGTCAAATAATTTATCAATAACTCTTATAAAACGGATTGTACTACTTGCTCCTAAGAAAGATGGATGCTGCGATACCATTAAAAATTCAATTGCATCAGCAACAGAGCTGCTAAGTGTTTGGCCAGCTATCTTAACATTCATTTTGTGGCGATGAAATTCAATATGTTTTCTTGAAATTTTGTTTGCAAATTTTAAACCTTCAAGCTCTTGTAACTCAAACAAAGCTTTAATATAACTCCATTTAATATAGCAGCCTTCATCGTCAATAAAAACACCCAAATCATTTAGAGAATTTCTAGCTAATTTAAGCATATGGCATGGGTCTAGGAAAATGTGGAGCAGTTAGTTGTTATATAAAAAAGTACTAACTATATTGTCTATGACATTGCCAAACTTACATCCTAATGGGACAACGGAATTTAAATTTGTACTAGTACCATCAAATGTAATACTTTTGATACAAAGTTCATATGTCAAAGCCACATCTAAAATATTTTTGATAAAACATGTTAAATCACTTGCTTTAACTTTATTTGATAAAACATAACCAATGGGTGTTTTCCAATGTCCTCGCAAACCAACTAACATAAAAATTAATGCCTCTGTAGCTGGAGTATCAGGTTCACATACAGAAATATCTTTACCAAAATCACAAAAACCAATATAGTGACCTGAACTTTTGTCATAAATTATACTGTTTTTGATTGCCATAGCATAAATAATAAGAGCACAATGCTTAAAATTAATATCTGTTTTCTGTTTATCACCAAGATATGAAAAAACATCAAGGAATAAACCGGGATCACAATTTACAGATGATGTCCAATGTGATATTGAACTGGCAGCAGGAAGACATAACATTGGCCGAAGAAAGTTATATGCACGAGGAGAATAAAAATGAAGAGTTAAAGCGAATTTTTTTACTTCATCGTTGTATCTGTGACCTTTTGGGTTATTATTTTGATTGGAAAATTGGTTCTTAATAATTTCATATGAGAGTC